GTTTCTATTGTTCCATATAGCCCAAAGTAGTGCACATATCCCTATCCAAATATGTCTCGCTATATTGGTTCCACTGTGTTTAGCCACGTCCCAAATAAGATGTTAATGCAAGTTGGAGGGGATTGACGTTGAAGGCTATATGTATCGTGTGTCATAGTGGTTTTGCCAACGGGCAATCGAGAAAGAGGTGTTGTATGGTTTCATCCTGATCACAAAAATAACATCTAAAACTACCTACCCACCTTCGCTTTACCAAATTATCTTTCGTCAAGATCACTCCCTTGTGGACAAACCACATGAAGATTTTAATTCTAGGCGAAACTTTAATCTTCCAGATATGAAGGGATCTCGGGATTGGCCCAAAGTCAATTAGATCTAAGTACATAGATTTCACTAAGAAGCTACCCTTCGTAGATAATTTCCGGTGAATGTTGTCTTACTGGTCAGAGAGATGAACCTCCATCAACCTGCGGACCAAGTGCAGCCACGAGTTCCGGCGTTCCCCCAACAGAGAGCTCCTAGATTGGATATTAAGGGGGACCGACTGTAATACTATAGCAACATAGTCTTTCTTATGTTATATAATATTATATAAAGTGAGATATTGTAAGGCTAGGAGAGTCTCCCATAACCATGCATGTTCCAAGAATCTAGCCGTGTTACTATTACAAATGATAAATTACATCTGCTGAAGGAGACTTTCATCCTCATCAACCCTTTCTAGAACGACGAGTCATTAGGCCTAGTGGTAACATGGGCCAAAGTCTTAGATTGGAGGCACTTACTATGTAGAATTTGTTTTCATGTACCCTCGGTCTCAGTAGATAGTCTGAATAAGGAAAAAGTCCAGTTTAAACCCTGACTTTGTAGAGGTTTGGCAAATCAAACCCTCAAGTCCAAATCCCTGTCGTTTGCACCCTGAAATATGTAATCCCTGTCTAAATTGAACCCCGGCATCGTTTGAGGCATAAAAATGCTGACGTGGCAAAGGTCAACCGAGATTCATCTAACTGGTGGGCCGGCCCATTTGTTGACCACTATGCATATCAGTCCTCCGCGCGAGGCCGGCCCATTTGTTTTTTTCTGTTACACTGCTAAAAAATGTGTGAACCTTTTACAAAACGTGTGGACCTGTGAATTTTTTTTCCAATCCACGTACTCTTTTTCAACTTTTCAGTTTTTTTCCAAATTCCATGATTTTTCCCAAATCCATGGACTTTTCATCTGAAAACACGTCAACTTCTTTTCAAAATCGTTAAACTTTTACTAAATCCGTGATTTTTTTAAAAAAATTGTGAACTCTTTTATAAATTTATGATCTCTTTCCAACTCCGTGTTTTTTAAAATTGATTAGGTTTTTTCAAAATCGATGAAATTCTATCATATTCATGAAGTTTTTTTCGAAAACAATGATTTTTTAAAAATAATGCGAAGAATATTTACAAATCTGTGATATGTTTGTTGAGAATTGATGATTTTTAAAAATAAATTCGTGTTTTCTAAAATAGATAGTAATTTTTTCTCAAAACATCCTGAAGTTTTTTTTTTCAAATTCGCGATTGTTTTTCCAGTCCATGACCTTTTTGCCAAATTCATGATTTTTTTTTTCATTTCTGTGAACTTTTTCAAACTTCTACGAATTTTTTTCATTATCGTGAACTAAAAAATGGTCGAATAGTTCTGTTATCCTAATAGTGCACAACTATATTAAGATGGCCTAGTAGTTAATGGCGACAACCATCGAAGTACACGTCTGCACTTCGAATATAGTCACAAATTAATAAATTTTGCCTTTTTTTTCATTTGCATTTGCTGGTCTATCGACGTGCCCACCTAAAATTCATCTTTTTAAAATTGTTCAGAATTCAAAAAACTTGTCTAGAATTTGAATTTTGTTCATAATTTTAGCAAATGTTCACGTCTTGAAAATGAATATTAGATTTTTTGATAATTTCCAAACATTGGTCGGATTTTTTAAAAAAATTATTCACATTTAGGATCAGCCACTTCCTTGGTTAGTACTTTTAAATATAGTGCTTCACATAAGACGTGCTGGGTCCATAGCTTGGCTGGCTTGGAGTTCGACTCCCATCGCGTGCGCTTTTCCTTTTTCTATTCGCTCGGCTGCTGCAAATTGGGCCGGCCCATGCTTTTCCTTTTTCTATTCGCTCGGCTGCTGCAAATTGGGCCGGCCCATGCTTTTTCTTTTTCTATTCGCTCGGCTGCTGCAAATTGGGCCGGCACATTTGTGCGCCACCTTTAGTGTACCAATCCCGGCCTGTTTTCTCTAAAAACAAAAAATCTCGGCTATCCTTCGCGGTCCCCGTTTGGACTTGAGGGTTTGATTCGCCGAACCTCTACAAATTTAGGGTTTAAACTAGAGTTTTTCCTCAGAATAACCATTTGGAGATGAGCCATTTATTTTTAACTTCTAAGTTCTCGATCCCAAGCCCACCTTGGTGTTTGGGTCTGCAAATTATATCTCATCTGGCCAGCCTGTATTTTGTCTTAACCTCATCACATTGCCAGAAAAATCGAGATCGATAGAAGTCTAATCTTTTCCATACCCCTATCGGTACTTCAAAGAAATATAGGAGGAACCTTGACAGACTGGTCAGCACCGAGGTAATCAACACTAATCGACCTCCATATATAAGACATAAGCTTGACCTTTCAGCAGCCTAGCCTTTTTCAAATCTATCTTCAATGCACTTCCACTCCTTATTTGTCAATCAGCCATGGTGAATCGGGATCCCAAGGTAACTAAACGGTAGTGAACCCATTTCACAACCGAACAGCTGTTTATACACATCTTGTTCCTCCTTGACTCTCCGAAAACAGAACAATTCACTTTTGTTAAAATTTATTTTGAGTCCCGCCAATTGTTCAAATAAGCAAAACACTACTTTCATATTTCTAGCTTTTGCAATATCATGTTCCATGAATATAATTGTGTCATCAGTGTAGTATGGACACTCCCCCATACACAAGATGTGGAACTAGTCCGACTACTTGCCCATTTTATTTAGGCCGACCGATAAGGACTGCCAACATATCCGCTACTATGTTAAACAGAACGCGAGACATTGAGTCTCTCTGTCTTAATCCATTATGTGTCTCGAAGTAATAACCAGTGTCATCATTCATCTTTATCCCAACACTAGCTACCTTTCTGAATAAAGGAATCCACCTGTTTTCTCCAGGCTTCATTTGAACCGCTTCATACATAAAACTTGTTGTAGGAAGGGCCATTTGACCTTGTCATACGCCTTCTCGAAATCCACTTTGAAAATAACCCAATCTAGTTTCTTCCAATGAATGTTGTGAAGAGTTTTATATAGAACCATAACCCCTTCTATAGGATGTGTCTCTCAGGCATGAAAGTCGTCTGAGTTGGTTGTACAACCGAATGGGTAATCTGCGTCAACCTATTCGTATTGGTGACGAGTAAGAGAATAGGAGTTGAGGGGTGATGAGATAGAAATTCCATTGATTGGTTGAAGAGAATAGGAGTTTAAGCAGGGGGAGAGGGGCAATGATAATTTAGGGAGCCGATTCCCAGGATTTCTTTCCACAAGATCATGTTAATTCGTGGGCATGTTCTATCCCAAACTAATTTCCATCTTATATCAATCAGAGAAACGAGAGTAAAAATATATTTCCACACCTAATCCCTCCCAGCACTTCCTCGTGTAAACTCCCATTCCCCAAGGTTACGTTTCGCTCGCTCCCAGGCCTCCGAGAAAAGCGGATCGAGGCGATCCCATCTGCTCCCAACCACACCGGCCTCCAAGCCACTGCCGCCGGTCCCTGCCTCCTTCATCCGCCGCTCCAATGGCAGGAGGGGTTGGGGACCCTGGTGCTTTGGCTCAGGTCTGTAGTTAGGGTTAGTCTAGTGCTTCCTTGGGGTGCTGTTTTCATGGAGGAGGTGGCGTCACGTCCGAGTAATTTGCTTCCGCTCTTCCTCCATCTCAGCGTTGCTGCAACCAGTGGCATCGAGGGGCAGGTGGCCCAGTCGTCTCGCTGATCTATGGATATTGCGAGGTTCGTGTCTGGTGGTCGGCCGTCAGCACGCTCGTGGGTGGCGGTCGTGTCGGCTCCTGTAGTTGTGTTTATAGTCTTGTAGCTGGGTGCGTGGATGACGACAGGCGGCGATGTTCCTTTTCTTCGACTACATCAGATGAAGTTGACGGTGTCGAGATCTGGTGACCACGGGGAAGATCCCCGGCCTACGTGCCACAAAGACTATGACGGCTATTCTTATTTTTTTCCGGTGTTTTCATGGTGACAGTGGAGGACGTTTGTTGACTACGTTTCGGCGAGGCATGAGTTTCTGCAAGGATGAAATATTAGTTTTACTTCTTGTGAAATTCTTTGTGCAAAGTTGCTTGACAAGCATTTATGTCTTGTATGATGACCATATGTGTAATCTCTTATGAACACATGGTATATTGAAATAGTATATGGTTGCTTAAAAAAAGTTAATTACCAAATAGCGGTGGTGTCTTTTTCTGCGTCACATGTGTGGCATTCATCCTGGACCCAGTGGAAGGATAAACTAGTCAGCCACCTCCCTACGAAATGGATGTTTCCCACGTAGCTTGTACTCCGGTTTGTAGCGGCAAAAGCTGTATTATTAGTAGGAGAAACCCAGCTCCACATGTTTGTACCGGACGGAAATACCCTCGCCGCTTAGCGTCCACCCTCCGGCCTTATCCCCGTTGCTCCATTTTTGTCCTCTTTGTCCTCGCCGATCACCGCATTACATTCCCACGCCATCACCCTCAAACCCTCTCAGCAGAACACGTACGCCTCCTCCTCACCAGCTTGAAGAGCTCCTCTCCCGCCGGTGAAGACTCAAGTGGTCCTGCTGGTGTCCGGTAACTGCTTCCGTCTTTTCTTTGCCGGTGACTCTGAGGATTCTGATTTCTTCCCGCAAATGGTTGCTCTTGCTCCGACCATGTTCCATCCAGCTTGCTGGTGCTGCCGCGGCGGACGCGATGGAAGCTGTGCACGGCGTCGAGTCCCTCGCCGGCGGAGATGGCCGGCATCATGTTTCCCGTACCCTTGGGACTGCCCTGCTGATCTCGGTGGGGTACATCGATCTCGGCAAGTGGGTGACGGCGGTCGATGCCGGCGCTCGCTTCGGGTACGACCTCGTGCTGCTGGTGCTTTTCTTCAACTTCTCGGCGGTTCTCAATCAGTATCTGTCCACTTGTATCGGCATGGTCACCGGCAAGAATCTTGCAGAGGTACATATACCCAATTCTTTCTTTAATTCCTGCTACTCTTGTTTCCGAGAAGGGATCAGTCTCAAATATGCAAGTCAGTTCTGAGCCCGAGCTGATATGCTCCGGCTGTCCCCAGCTCAATTGTAAAAAAATTAAAAAACCTACTAATCCCTCTATAGTGGTGCTCTAAGCAAAATCATTTCAATGACGATATATTTTGTTTCTTTTTCTTTACCGAGATCACCACAAATTCAATTTCTTCATGGAAACTAAAATTTATTTCAAAGCCCGAGCCCATATGATCCAGGACGAACATTATATTTTTTTAATCTACCACTAAATAAATAAATAAACTGATTTTTTGCCACAAACAAATATGTTCGTCTATTCCGACTGGACTCAAATTTTTGTGAATAAATAATACTTGTGGTATTCTAAGCAAAAAATCGGCGGGCACATATTTTTTCCCTTTTATCTCGAGAACTACAAATATAATTTCTTCCTTGAAACAAAAATCCATTTATATGCCTGAGCTCATGTGCTTGGGGATGAAAAGTATTTTTTTAGAAGAAAAAAAAGTAGTAATATATATGTAAACTGATTATCCGGAGGGAAGGCCGATGGCGAAACGACCAGCCCGGCTTGCCTGGAATTGCTACAACAGCCACATCAGCAGCCACATCCTCTGCTCCGGACTGAGCATGATGTAGGCGGTGATCCGGCACCTCAATGGGGAAGCGGGCGGATTGGAAATCTTGGTGGCGGAAGGGAGAAACGGGGAAATAGAGTGGATAGGGTTTCGGTTGCCGTCGTCCATCTTAAATAGCCGGCCTCCTCCATCGGGTGACACGTCGGAGCAGCGCCACATGGCGTGCAGCGGAGGAGGCGCCTGTCAGAACATCGGTCTCTCTGTATCACTGTGTGGGCCCTATCTGTCAATTTATCTGCCCAAGCGCGTCCGGGCCTCCCCATATCTATCCCAGATATGGGGAGTGCCAGTCAGTCCGGACGTTGGGCCTGGCTATGGGGAGCCCTGTTGGGTGGCCAAAACTCGTCCGGGCACTTTCCGGGCAGCCTGCCCGAGTACTTGTCGCGGTTATGGGTAGTCCGGTTGTGGATGCTCTTAAAACACATGAACATGCTTGTTGCTGGACAAAATTTGGATGTCACTTACTTAATTATTTGCACATGAGCTCGGGAGCCGAAACACCATCCTTCTCAAATATCCCAACGTGAGAAAAAATGTTGCATTTTTCTTTTGCAGAGAAAGACTCTGTAGGTACTTTTGGGATTTTGCGTGTTTTTCAGTTACAACCACCATCTGGTCTTACTTGTAATGTTTTTACATGAATTTCAACATTTCCAGCCAGGAGTATAGCCAGTTCATATGTGTTGGCCTTGGTCTCCAGGCAGGGATGTCTTTATTTACTTCAGAACTAACCATGGTACGTATGAGCACAAACTTCAATATAACTGTTTTTGTCAATACTCTATTGTACCTTATTTGTTTTGCCATGTTATGTGTATTGACTTTTTAACTAAGTTGTGAGGATGTGAGGATTCCCAACTAATTCTGAATATTTAATATTTTGGCTGTTTCAGATTTTGGGCATAGCAGTTGGATACAACCTTGTGTTTGATGTGGATGATTTTATCACGGCTATTATTTTTGCATGTGTTGTAATTAATGTATTGCCATATCTTTTATCCCCCAGGGTAAGTTTAATACTAACCCTGCATCCACTAATTCTTAGAATGTTGACTTGTTCCAGTTCCTCTTAAGATGCTGTGTGCTTATGATATATTATTTCTGCTCATTGTAGGACAAGAGGATGGCTGGAACGTTAAATGCATGCATAGCTGGCTTTACGATTCTTTGTTTTGTGCTTGGTTTATTAATCAGTCAACCAGAGATTCCTCTCCATGTGAATGTGATGTTCCCTAAGTTGAGTGGAGAAAGTGCTTACTCACTGATGGCACTTATGGGTGCAAACATAATGTCACACAATTTTTATGTTCATTCGTCCATTGTTCAGGTATTTCACGGTGTTTCTTGCTCATACATTGTTAAACTTGTCCATGAATATTGATTTGCATCTGGGGGTGCACCAGTGTCAAAGTTTTTCATTAAGAAAGGTCATGTTATTTCTGCAAATGGTGCTGCTTGTACTCATGATGAGCATATGGAGTTGTTCACAATGAATGATGGTAGCAAAACTAGCATTGTTTATTTTCTGCTTTTTATGACGTTGTTAATACACCTGTTTCAAGATCGAAAAAACCATTAAAATTTTGGTTATGGTGGTTCAGAGATATTTTGAAACATATCAGGTGATGCATACTTCTTTTTTCGGAAGAAGGGATAGGAGCACTGACTTTGCACTGTTCACACCATGATGGGATGTGGATCCCACTTTACTATTTATTCCTGCTTATTTGAGTTATCCTTTCATGTTAACTTGGATGTCATATATGCAGGTTCAGAGGGCTCATGTTCATACCCTGGGTGCCCTGTTTCATGACCACTTTTTTTCAATATTATTTACTTTTACTGGGGTTTTTCTTGTGAACTATGTTCTGTTGAGCTCAGCAGCAGCGGAATCTAGTCACAATGTGATCCACACCTTTCACGACGCTGTCGAGCTAATGAACGAGGTTTGTGAGTTCTGTCTCCACAGTATCAATCCAACTCTTCGAATCACAAACATGAATTTTGGTGTTTTAATGGCGTGTTTAAAAAAAATCCTTAGTTTATTTGGATACTTGTTTTCTGCAGATATTTACGAGTTCCATGGCACCACTTGTGTTGTTGGCGGTTCTTCTCTTTTCAAGCCACATCATCGCACTAACATCTGTTATCGCTAGCCATGTAGTTACAGAGCATTTCTTTGGCGCCAACCTGTCTCTGGTTGTGCATCATGTGCTACTTAAGCTTATTTCCATGATCCCTGCTATCTATTTTGCAAAGGTAGCAGGCTCTGAAGGGGTATATCAGTTAATCATTCTATGTCCAGTAATCCAGGCGTTTACCCTGCCTTCATCTGTTATTCCTGTTTTCCGCATCGCCTCATCAAGTTGGATAATGGGAAACTACAGGGTGTCTCTACGTGTTGAAATATTAGCCTTCCTTGCATTTTGTCTTACGTTGTTTATAAATATCATCTTCGCGGCGGAGATCCTGTTCGGCGATAGCGCCTGGACAAACAGCCTGAAAGGGAACACTGAAACCCCTGTGCTAATTCCACATACTGTACTAATCCTAATGTCTTGTGCATCTATTGCTTTTGCACTCTTCCTGGCTGTTACCCCACTGAAATCATCAAGTAGGGAAGCCGAAACTCAGGAGTTGTGTGTGCACTCTCAAAGAGAAGCACCTGAAGAAATTCAAAGGTATTATAGCTATTGATGTTTTTGCAGGGGATTCATTGAAAAGTCATCAGAAATCTGCTTTCAAGCATGCTGACAGTTCTGAAACCACTGCAGGTCCTGAGGCCCCTTGACGTCTGCCATCCTCGAGGAATCAAAATCACTTGTTACGGTTGACTTTAGAGTCAACAGTCAACACCAAATGAAGAGCGCAACTCAGAAAGGTGTTGAAGTAGAAGCAGATGTTTGCACCGACAAGGATAATGGGACTTGACATAAATGTCGAATACCACAAGTCCATCGGAGGTAGGCAAGCAGAAATTCACCGTCCAATGAAGCAAATTGGGGCAGAGCTCCTGGAAATCTGAAATATTACAAGAGGTGGACAGGCGACCCGGTTCCAGAAGTCTATGCAGCCAAGTATGAACACTAATTTCCTCTTATATATCAACCATTTGCACAAACCTAGCAAAGTGCAGAGTTCAATAGGGTGAGGTGGATACTGAGCAGTGAAAAGGGATCCTGGCATAGGTTCCTCATCCACGTAGAGAAGGTCCTTTAATCTGAGGATAAAATGTGAGAATGTGCCAACTTAACTACTGTGAAGATCGGAAGCTACTGTTGAGCATATATCTGTTTTCTGTCATTCTCAATGTATATTCCCCTGTTAATGTGAGGTTCTCAATGGAATAATAAACAATAATAGTTCTCCGTTGACATTTTTCACAAAAAAATTCTATTGGTCAGTCAATGTTTCTTTATATTGAGGCCAAACTCAGAGGGGGGCGTTTGAAACCTAGTCGTACGTACCCCGTTTAAAAAAATAAGTAATTGCACAGAAGATGAAAAATCATGAATTTTTTTGGCTCGAACTTGATCAAGCTTGACAGTTGTTTCAACTTTTTGCGAAGAAATAACTTTCATGGTATTGTTGGTGAAAAAGATAAAATCAGCACTAGGAATTACTTTTTTAGGGGCTATATATTAGAGTTACTATTCAATCTTTTTGTCATGTAAAATCAGCACTATATGAGAGTTACTATTCAATCTATTTTGTCATGTAAAATTTTGTTTTTTTCACCAAGATTTCAGATGTGAATTTTTCTTTGGCAAAATTTGTATACGAGTACCCCGGTGGTCCATGTTTGTCCCATTTTATTTTATTTTATTTACTTCTTCCCATATTGCTATTTTCTTCTCATATCAGGTTCATCGACCCCCAGGTTCCGAGGGGTATTTTTGTGGCCATACTCTCACTATTCTAATTCTCAAAATAGACCTTGGCCCTGCTTTTAAATATAAAGCCATCCAAGCGATAAACACCAACACACTGAATTATTATTAAATAAACACGTTAAATATTTTTCAATAAATGTTTGAACATTTTTAAATCACGTGAACATTTTTTGTGTGCTATGAAAAATTAATGTGGTATAAACAATATTTTTATGTGTCGTAAATTTTTAAAAAATGCACTAACACAATTTATTGAATTGACTAAAAAAGGGCGTCAAAAAGTTTGAACGGTGTGGTTGGATGGTTTGGAGGACAATGGTATCCCTAGAGGATATTGGTGCTCGCACTTCCTAGATTTATTTTAGTCCTTCGGCGATATGCGTTCAGTGAGAGGGGGGGTTTCCGACGACTACGAAGGTGTCAATTTCATGAATCTCAAGATGATGTGCCGGCTCGGTCTCTCAGAGATGAGTGTATGAGTCTCTATGTATTTTCAATTTTGTAACCATTTTATTTAAAATGCACAGTCAGTTTTCTTAAGCGGATTAAGCAAATTTCTAGATGTGTATTAGACATTTTTAGTAAAATGATTTCTAAATTATTTATTTCTAAAATTTCTAAAAATAATTAAAAAATAAAAACAACTTAGAAAAAAGTGTGCGTACCTGCACTAGAGCAGGTGAGTTTTCTTTTTACTCAAAGAGCAGGTGAGGTGAATGTTCTCCCTCATGGGCTAGGTCTGGCCCGTCTAACTGTGTTCTTAATGCGACGACGTCCAGAACCATGACAGAGGAGAGTTGCGCTCGGCCCAGGGAAATGTAAAGGCTTCTCGAAAATTAGAGTGACTGCTACAATATGAAAAATTCAAATAAACCATTAAAAACTTGACTGGAAAAAGAGAATCAAAGGTGTTTTGATGCGTAGAATAAGGTCAATTCCATAACGAATCGAAGCAACAAAAGAAATACGGCACATCAATATAAATTTATCATATTTGATTAAGTAGATCCATGAGGCCACAAACCTCTCTGGCTCAGTGGCATCACCATTTTAGAGAGAGAAAATATATTCCTAGAAACACCACTATAGAAACACCAACGAAGACCACAAATTATAATATACATGAGGTGCCCTCACATCTGAGCAGAGAAATGGAATCATGGAAGTCGGGGGCAAGAGCACTGAATAAATCTCCAGTCACGCCTTTGTCTCTCCCAAACCTTAGCTATCTTGACGGTTGTTTCTTTTGGACACTGCTCTATTTTATTTCAGAAAAATCTGATACTTCATTCATACACCAAATTTTGTAGACACATCTACATTTATTCTTACTCATGCACCGATATCTGTTTGGATCGGCCAACCTGGGCTGAGCACGGCCAAAAGAATAAAATCAAAATGCCGAAATCAATTCAGAAAAATTGAGCACCCATATCAAGTTTAAGACTTGAACCCGGATGAACTAGTTAAACCATCCATTTATGCACCACTTAGTTCATAAATAGTTAGGATTTTTGGTCGGCCAAAAACGAAGCAAAACAAGTTCTAAAAAATGTTTGCTTTTTCAACGCTGCTCAAGTTAACAGACGTTGTCGAGTAATAGCCTTTCCTCGGTGCGCGAATACCTAGTTGTTGAGATTAAAGCATCTATGAAGGATAGGGAGTTTGTTCGTTAGGTGTTTAGTCGAGATCAAAATAGGATAGCATATCAATCGGCTAGTAATAGTCGTACAGAAATAGCTACTGCTGTGTGATTGCATTAGGGGCCTCCTTGTGTATTGAGGACTTATTGCCATTAGATTGTAATCCTAATCCTATTAGAGCATCTCCGATAAATGATGTATATTTGGAGATGTAAAAATACTAGATGTATAATTTATATTACCAAAAAGTACCTTTTACATCATCGAAAAACACCAAACTCCAACAGATGATATTTAATTTTTATTTTTATTTTGTGGAGGGAAATGAGATTTTCATTACTCAAGGAGGTTTCTCAACCAGAGCCAAGTTTACAACAAATTCCAACCCGAGAGTAAGCCATACTGCGGTTCGAAGTGTACTACGGTCATATGCGGCCAACTCATGACTAACATTATTCTGTCGAGTGTGCACTGAGCATCAACACTGCTTCCACACTATCCATCTCAACCATAATAGGCAGACTTGCCCGATGCAAGGCCAGGTCTAGCCCTCCTCTGCAAGCTGCTAGTTCCGCCTCCAAAGCACTATCACATGTATGGAACTCCCTACATGTGTTATAAATGATATCGCCTCTATCATCACGTAGGATCGTAAGAGATGATATATTATTGATGATGTAAAAGTATTGCTCCAACAGATGATGTAAAAACGGCTAACCGCCATGCGGCAGTAGTGCCACAGCCGCACAATTTGAAATATAGAACATCTCAAAATAAACATAAAATTCATGTGTCCACAATATCAAATAATTACATAGATCATTAAACCGAGAACATCAAACGCAACACAAATACAACAAAGTTCTTACGCAATATAACAAACAAAGAATGAAACTAGGAGGTTCGTTCACCATGCCATTTCCAGTACTTCTACATCTAATCTTTCTGATAATCATTGTGAGTATCGACGTCTCTAATTTCATGGTATACCTTCATGAAACGTTTGATTCAATCATCTTTTCTAATCAGCCTAACGCGTACCCCCATGAGATCATAGAAGGTATAATTCAAATATTGCCCACGCCCAGTCTCAATGGCCATGTTGTGCATGATCAGGCGAACAATCATGATGTACTAAAGGTTTTTCTGACCCCAAAATCTAGACGGTCCTCGCATAATAGCAAATTGGGATTGCAAAATCTCAAATGTGCTCTCAACATCTTGGCCTAGCTGCCTCTTGAGCATTGTGAACATAGAGTTCTTTCGTACCTTGGGGGCTTTGGATTGGCTTGACAAAAGTACTCCACTTCTGATAGATCCCATCCGCAAGGTCGTATGCATAGTTGTAGGTGCAGACATTTTCTTCGAAGGTCAATGGTGGAGCTTCTTCATTGGCTAACTCAGCAAAAAGAGGTGACCGGTCGAGCACATTGATGTTGTTGCAAGATCCACGTATCCCAAAATATGAATGCCAAATCCATGTTTCTTGATCGCCAACAACCTCAAGAATGATGGTGGCATCCTTGGAGCGTCCTTCAAACTGTCTGTAACATGCTTTAGGACAACTCTTCCACTTTCAATGCATGCAATAGATAGACCCAAGCGTACCTGAAAACCCACGAGCTTTGTTCATCTCCAAAAGTCTCTGAGTGTCCTGAGCATTGAGTGCTCTCAAGTACTCTTGACCATACACTTCTATCATAGTCTTTGCAAATTATTTGGCATAAAAGATAGAAGTGCTCTGTGACATCCCAAATTGTCATCAATGTATATTGCCGGAACACCATAGAACATCATGCACAAAGCTGCAGTGACCTTCTGCTTAGTGCTATGTCCAAGCAAATCGGCACAATGCTGAAAGGCTGGATCATGTTGCTTGACGGAATTGCAAATATGGATGAACAAATCCTTGGACATCCTGAACGGACGACGAAAGTACCTTTATGGAAAAATGAGTGGTGTACCAAGATAGTTGCGCATCCACCTCTCGTGCACCTCAGCCCATTCTCTTCGGATGAACTCACGGCTAAACACAAAACCGTAGTGCTTTCGCTTCTTCCTCTTGTGCATTTTTACATGGCCACTAGCATAGCAATGTCCTCTTCTTTGGTCAAATCGAATTCCTCATCTGATGAGGAATCGTCCATGAAAGAAGATTGCCACGAGCTCATCCACAATACAGAAATCACCGCCGAACTACATCTTCATGCCCGATAAAAAAAACCTAGTTCGCACGAATTTTTACTTTGCGAGAATTTTGTCAAACACGTTGTGTGCGAAGTGGAAGAAACCGGCCGATGGCTGGTCAGAGAGCCTTCATGGTAGTCACGTATCAAGATGGCAACGGGGACGAAATCCACCAGGCTTTGCCTGCCCAAACCCATCCCCACGAGAA